TCACATGCAAGGGGTCTATTGAGCTGCTTTGACATCACATGCAAGGGGTCTATTGAGATGCTTTGACGTCACATGCAAGGGGTCTATTGAGCTGCTTTGACGTCACATACAAGGGGTCTATTGAGCTGCTTTGACGTCACATGCAAGGGGTCTATTGAGCTGCTTTGACGTCACATACAAGGGGTCTATTGAGCTGCTTTGACGTCACATGCAAGGGATCTATTGAGCTGCTTTGACGTCACATGCAAGGGTTCTTGCTATTTCCAAATAAAAAAATCTCACTGCAAAAGTTCTTTTCAAAGATCGTTTGGATGGCTACAGCRTTATGGCTCCCAGTCAAGGTTGTATTCATGTGTTTCACTGTGATTTACTTTCAGATATTAACGAGTGTGCCTCTAAACCTTGCCAAAATGACGGTAGCTGTGTTGACCAAGTCAATAGCTACAAATGTAACTGTGCATTTGGATACGAGGGTCCTAACTGTGAGACAGGTAAGATATACACTAAATGTGAAGACAGTTTTTACGTGACGTTACAGCCGCCATGTTGGTGTACCAAACCAAAACAATACAATTTCTATCCTCGGGGAATTGTCCTATTTCATTATGACGTCACATCAAAACAATCTATTGTTCAACGCAAAGGATCATGGTCGTCGGAGGGGGTCAAATCAACGCAAATTCACCGAAAATTGTTCTAAAACCCGTATCAATCCACGAAGAGAAGTAGAATAGCCAGCAAACTCTCAGAATAATTTTTAGTACATATTAACACATATCTTATCTGAAAACCAGGCCATTTTAGATTAAACTGTTTTGCTAGGAGCAAATTTTGTTGAATTTTCTATTGGATTTGGCGATTCTATCCCCGACATAAACAAGCAGTGACGTCATAGTGAAATAGGGCAATTGAACTCTGTTTTTATTGAAATTGGAATTCAGTGGATGTATAGCCAATCTGTGGAAATGCCACTGTTAAATATCCCATTTTTTAAATCAAATTTAAGGTTTCTGATAAAACGCGTAGATTTGATAAAAACGTTTCGGTTATAACTAGTGACAGCCTTCATCGGCATGATGATGAAAGTGTGTGAAGCGCGCGTATGTATACGTAATATTTCAAACACGCGAGAGAGTTCTTCCTCCGATTTCCAAACACCGAAAAGTGAGGTGAAAAAACGAGGCGCAGCCGAGGAAGAACTCTCTCAAGTGTTTGAAATATTACTTCTCATACTCATGAATATTTCTTGGAGAAAATCGAAGAAAAAGTTTACGAAATTTAATGCAAATTAAGAACACATTTCCAAACCACCGTCACAGTAGTGATTTGCTTTGTTTTCTCCTCATTAAA